TGTCAGAATTGCTGCCACTGCAAAACTATGCAAATGTATTTCCTAGTTCAAAGTATCCTCTCTTTGCACTGTAAGACAGTCTATACACCATATATCATCAGTGTGGATATATACCCAACATGTAAAATTATAAATTGATATAAAATAATATTCAAAAAAAGCCTTCTGAATTCTGAAATTGAATTCTATAGCATGACATTTCAGCACTCCAAAACAGACTGGTATACAAATGAGGATGTGTCAGTGATTTCCTGTTTTCCTAAAACTATGAATTATCATAAGAGTAGAGGAATGAGTAGTGTAAGATGTGGAAGCAGGTTTTAGACATTTTTTCTACTCATGTAGGTTTTTACAACTAATGACTTTCAATTCACTGTCACAATAGAGAAGAATTATTTCCTTGGCAAAGTAATATGTGTGCTTTATACTTCATGTGGAATTTATCAAGCATAGGGCCAAAAAGCACTGTTCTTGATTGTACTCACACAGACTTCATGTAATAGAATTATAGCAATATAAGGTTGGAAAAGACCTCAGAAGTTCATCTAGTTCATCCCTTAGCCCAGAGGCAGAATCAGATATTTCTATGTTATTTGTGACAGATGTGTCTAGCCTGTTCTAAAAAGCCTCCACCGATGCGGAATATACAACTTCTGTAAAATTTTCTGTAAAAAAGGAGGTGCCTGGGAGGCATCAGCATTCATTAAAAAAAAAATCTTTTTTCTTTCTGTCCAGGCAAGAGGGGTCTCCAAGCATTCCAAACTGTACTGAAAAATAACAGTCAGCAAAAATGAATGCTCTGGTCTTGAATTTGTTGAATAAAAAACGGTTGATCTCATTCTTGGTCTCCTTCTGTGGTAAAGAGTTGGTTTGGGGGTTAAGATGTTGGTTAGGGTTAGTGGCTGTAAAATAAAAACTCTGCAGCCCAGTTAGAGGTTTAATTTAGAGATGTGTGAGCCTTTGGAAGTACCCCTCCCAAAGATCACCTGCTATCAACATCCTGTTCATCATCTGTTTTTTTTTTTTTAGCAGTTCTGTTCTCAGATTTTCTGTAGAAAGGAAGGTAGAAAGGAATCTCTACCTAATTTAGGCAGAGATTCTCCAAAATTCCAATGAATCAGGGGTTAAACTGCATGAAGCTTTTAGAGTATGACCTTGTGGGTTCTTCCCTTCTGCTTCTGCTGCTTTTGGATTTTTTTTTAATATATTTCCCCTGCTGTGAAGTACATCTACAAGCATTAATTCGCTGTGCCTATTATTCTGAAAGAGAGACAAAAAAAGTAAAAATTAGGATGTCAGAGGGAAATAAAATTTGCTACTATGTTACAATTGCATTTTAAAATAAACAAAAAAACACTACTCTTTTGCTGGCTGTAGATTTGGAAAGGAAAGTTGATTGTCAGTAATCCACAATTAGTTAATTACCCAGTGAATATCAAACCCAAATATAAACTTGCAATTCATTTTACTGGTCAGGGTATTGATTTTGTCTTTTTTTTTAATATATAAAATATGTAACAGTTTCAAATGACCCTGTTGACCTGAACAGCCAGAATATAAGGTTGGGTAGAGAGGAGGGCTTTGTTCCATAAACATTTTAGGTAATTATTAGCAACTTAATTACATCCTTTTAATTCTCCTTTTAGCTTTTACTAGAGATTGTGTAGGGCAAAGACTGAACTCAGAAATGGAATGTGACCTCTTTTTTTTTCAAATAAACTCAAGTGACTTAAGTGAAAATAGTGTCAAGGAATGACATCCCGAGGTCTCTTCCAACCTGAATTATTCTATGACTCTATGAAATTAAATTCAACAGCTTAACTCCTATGGACTAGAAACTTTTGTACCTGAGAAGACTCATCCCAAGGAAAATGAATGGGAAATCACTTTTGGCCCTTCCCATTTCTGAATCAGATATGCCAGGTATCCCAAAACATGTTGTCAAATGCTCTGTAGTTATATTGGCTTTTCAATGACAAACTATTAATAAAGAGAAGAAACGAATGGATCTTTCCCATGGATCTAACATGAGCAGAAAAGACAAATGAAGAGATTACTTAGAAAACAGTTGTATTAAAAGATGGTTCATTCAGAAATTATTAAGATGCAGTAGTGACAGACAGGATAGAATACATATTTCATGGCAGAAAGAGAAAATAAAATTCTACAGATACACTGAATGATAATAAGTGTAGTCAAGAAACTGTTCTTATCTTTTTTACTCTCTCCTACTAAGCAGATTATATTTCAGTGAAGAAATGAAAGCTAAACTATTACCACTAAAACCCAGAATCATTTGGTTATTTTGATTCCTGAGAGCCATCACCATGTATATATGAAATGGGTTTGGATATGGGGACAAGCACACTCACAAGTTTAATTGCTTTTTGGGTTCCTTTACTATAATAATATTTCTGTGTGGCAGAGTCATTCTTGATTTTTAAAAGATGTTTCCTTTTATTATTTTTTTTAATAGGGCAGCCTATTTTTAATCAGTATTTGCTATGGATAGGCAGAACTACCCATACTACATGGATTGGTATTCAGAGCAACATTGACCGTGTTTAAGTTGAAATGTCCTTTCACCTTATAGGTAACTAAAATACCTGTGAGACTTTCTTAGATATCATTTTTTCAAGTTCTACCTTTTCCATTCTAACACTTTAGCAGAATTTCCCTATAGGTATTTTTTATTTTCTTAAGCGCATATTTTTGGTTTCTTTATTTAGTTAAGCACAGCAAATGTGGTTTCTTGTATTCATATCTAATTGAGTTCATGATTCAATGACATTCATTTTGTGAAACTATGAAACAATGTTGCAGATTAATTGTTAATTATATGTTACAGTCATGTTTAAATTGCAGTGTGATTAAAAAAATGCATCATTAACGCATAAAGCTTCCTGGAAAATGAACACATGCAACTTTAAATGCCTTAAAAGACAAGCCTAACCAGAAAGCATGTTTGAAAAGAAAATGTTGTGCATGAGCACACAAAGACTTGCATGCATATCTGCGTATATATGAAAGAATTAATTCAGTGCAGGTGAAAAAAGTTGAAAGAACAAGCCAGGCTGGCATTTAATAAATTGTTTTTAAGTTAAATGTTTACTTTACACCAAACTATACCACATTAACAGTGGTCTCAACTTCTGACAAAGCCTTATCCATATGTATTATTACTAAACTGGAAGAACGATTATTAAGAAAGTGATATCTTTTTCTGGTGTCCATATAATCCTTAATTTCTCAGTTGAAAATTCCAATTTTTGTTCTCTGTGAATGTTTTTTAAAGTGATACAGACACTAGAATTTACAGGATGTGTATATAGTATATATTTTTTGTATATGTGTACATTTATATATATATACATGTATATATATATATGCATGTATATATGTATGTATATATATTAAAAAGAGTTTCTATCCCATGAGTAATTCCCATCTTTAAACATTTGTTTTCATGCCAGCTGGGACTTCCAGTTACTAAAATATTTCACTGAAAAGGTTCTCTGTTCATACATTTTGTTTCATTCAAATACTAAAATGGTAATATTGTTGTGACATCTGGGTGCCATACAGACCGTTGAGCATTAAGTTTTACTTTCATTCAGTGTTGCAATATCACTACCAAAAGATATACATTTTAAAGGAAAGAATGAAACATTAAGTGACTTCACAAGTAATTTCTAATATCTCCCAAAATAACAAAAATATTAGATTATCATGATAAATCTACAGGAAAAATATCCCACTAAATGGTGCCAATTGGCTACAACTTAAATACTATTCGGTGTCTCTTATTTGATGATATAAAGGTGGATAAACAACATCATTCTCTCCAAAATTAAAATGATGACAAAGACATAATGATTGCAGTTCAGTTCTGAAAACCTACTTTTTAAAAATGCATGTTGCTGGATCCTGAATGTACTATCACAGAATCACAGAATCGTTTAGGTTGGAAGGGACCTCTGGAGATCAGTACTATGTCTCATTCTGACTTAAAAAAAACGTTCCTATTGGTGTTAACTTTGTTGCTCTCAGAGTGCTGACTGAGAACTGTAGACCATTGTGTGCAGCATCAAAATCCCCTTGGCCAGTTATTTTCTTGCAGAATTTTCCAGAGGTGGAATTAAGTTTGCACTGATGTCACTGGGAGGAATGCTAGAAAACAGCTGGGTCCCAGAGAGACCCAGGGTCTCCAAACTTTTTAAATTTATACAAATATACGAAATGGAAAATGACAGCTTTTACCATGGCTAAGTTAGCTAAAAGTTAGTTTTTTCTTGATATAGGAACCCTAAAGAGACATTAGAACATCCTTTGTCAGGAATAAAAAGAGATTTTCATTTTCAGTTGTTGAATCCACATTTCAAATGATTTATCCAAAAGGAAATACAGAAAGCAAAATCTGAGTTACTGTCCATTCAAATCCATATTCTAACCACTAAAATTAATTGCTTTCTTAAGCAATCTCTGTCCACACAGGAAACTTGTCATAACATGGTGATAATTTGCTTTGAATTAATTACAGGTTATATATGACTAGTGATAATACATAGCACTTACACAGTATACCATCAAACAGATTGGAAGCACCAAATCCATCTGAATAGTAACAGGCTCTGATACTCTCTTGCCAGTAGCAGGCTACGGCTCACTTGAAAGCAGGCAGAGAAAAGTGTGGAAAACTAAAGCAGTAAGGTATACTTACGTAATCCATCAGCTCCACAAACTCAGAGCTTCAAAGAGCTCCTGGTAGACATTAAAATTGCTTCTCTCTGAGAAAAATGTTGGAAGAGCTAACACTTTTTCTGAATGAATCCACCCTGCCACATAGGGAACTGATATAGCTAACTTGAATTTATTCATATAAAGCATCATATTTTAGGAAGATATAAAATTCTCAGTAGGGTGCAAAACATTTTATTTTTCAGATGGGGACTTAAAATGCTGCATAATGCAAAAATACATGCTATCACATACAATATGACATAATGGAGTTACACCATGTAGAATAATTTATATCTAATTTTAACCCCGCGTCTGATATTTTCTTCCCAAACAAGCTAAACCCCAAACTGATATGCTATGAATGCAGTAAAACTTTATACCTTGTATTTGAAACCCATATCTGATGATTGCACAAACTGTGTGGTGAGCTGGTCAGTATAGTGTATGCTCTTCTGTCTTAAGCAGAATGTCACCAATCATGCAGGAGCTCATTAATGCGCAGCTAGAGCCGTTGCACTGCAGCCTGGAAACAATGCAATGCAAAAATGAGTCTTCCGAAAGCCTGCGTAATCCAAAGAGCGCATTGACCAGGAGATGTTATTCAAATAAACAGTCAGTTCATTAGTTTGTTATTGCAGGTCCTAAATGTATAAAACTCTTGAAGAAAAACCAAGGCACAATTGTCACAATCTGTTTGGGTCTGCTGAATCCAATCAAATTGACTTGGAGTGTGCATGTTGGTGCTGTGAAACTGAGGAATGTAAGTGTAGGCACAGGGTCTGAGGAACCCTCTACCGCCTATTTTGAACCTGCTAATGTGCTCTGCTCACTTAATGGCATCTTATAAAACACCTGGTCTCAAATGCTCAAATATTGATTCAGTATATGGAAATCTGGTATTACACTCCTGCTGTTTCTAGGAACAGCTTATATAAACAGATCTGACATGATTGTGCCATATGGTTTTATTTCTGGAGTGCTTTGACTGCATATTTTGGGGGGAGAGGGTGACTAATTGGAATGATTTATGGGTCCCCCTCGCTTCCTTCAAGGTGGATGATGACTAAGTCGTAAAAGCCACAAATTTTGGTGTCCAGGTTCATCAGGGTTTTCAGTTAATGGTTAACTGAATGACAAATCTCTGCTGTGCATTCACGTGTGACTCCAGTGAGTGGGTGATAAGGCCTAAATCCTCCATAGAGTCCAAATGCGCAGGCTAAAAAGGAAGTATGTTTTACAGGCTCTATGTGCTTTTACCATGCCACATTTACCACACATTAGTAAAGACAAATACAGGAATATGAGAGGTTTTGAAGAGACAAATAGGTTGTGGTCCTTCTGCAAACATCAGTAACAGCTTGAATAGTGTAGCTGGGTAAAGAGCGAAGCTGCAGGCTCTGGGTAAGGTTTAAAGTCTAAGGAATTTGGTCCGCTTGAAGGTGCTGTTTGCCCTGACATTCCTTCCTCACTAGTCTAACTCTCCAAGGATCTATTGCAGGCCCTGCTATCTCAGGCTGTCTCACAGGAACCACAATTTTTCTATCAGGAAAATTTTCTGGCTACTCAAACACACCAAAACCAGTGTTTTATGACCTGGCTAGAGCCGGCAGTATATACAGCATCTGCACAGCCCTGTGGATTCTCCTCTCTGATATGATATAAAGCATGGCCAATTCAATAGGAAGTGATAAAAGCATATATAACTGTTAGACTGGTTTCATCCATCCTTATTCTATAAATTTTTATCATAAACTTCTGAATTCTGAAAAACTGCTTTGTTCAACTGCTTTTTATCTACTTCCTTTTCCCTTACAGATTTTTAGCCACACAGGGCTCTGTGGGTGCAATTCATCCACATGCCACAACCTTCTCACATTATTATTAGACAGATGCACAGCTGTACCCCCCCCCTCCTTATTCACGTTATACCCTGATTGTCTCTTAAATATTTATACTGCCTCTGTGCTTTTGATTTGTTGCACTGGACCCAAGTTAAGAACATATAAAATGTCTACTGTTCATCATTTGTTTGTGGATAAATTTTTTTTCAATATTTCACATTTTAGAGGTGACTGTTAGAATTAATATGTAGATGTCACTTCTGCCAGCAGGACACTCAGATACATTTCCAAAATTTAAAATATTTGACAAGATTTTTTTTTTCAGATACATTCTACCCCTTTCACTACAAGGTTTCCGCAAATTCCCTCCCGTCTTTGTGCTTCTGTGTGAGTTTATGAAAGACTTTCTGCCTTAGAAACTTATGACCTTCCTTCCACCACAGTCTGCAAATTTCTGATGTCACCACCACCACAGAGGCATTTCTGCTGCTTCTATATTCCAATTTTTCTTCTGCAGAACGCAGTGCCTGTAACTACAGCTCAGACTGTGGTTCTTCGAGCAACACAGAATTCTATGGAGAATTTGCATCTCAGAAATGAGATTTTTAAAGGATGTAGAGGATGAACAGAGTTGAGTAAAAGCGGTCATGTGCACATAAGGGAGAGGCATGAAGATGCATCATATAAAGTTCCTGGCTATCTAATTATATTCAATGTAAGGAACCTGGGCTCCTCAATTTCTGTTATTGCAGACAAAATTAACTGCAAATGAAATATTTTGTATATTTTTAAAAAACTGCACTCAGACTGTACATTTTAGAGTTAGATACAGAAAAAAAGTCTAGGCCAGGGTATGAAAAGCAGGTTAGCCTAATGAAACCTTTACATCCCACCTTAGGATATTTTAGAAATTCTTCAACCCCTCATCTTGATTTGGTTTAAACTTATGTACAAACCCAGACGGAGGCCAACTTTTTATATTTAAATGTGACCCAGGAGTATATCAATGTCTCCAGGCAAATTGATTTCAAAAGATCTTAAGTGGTTAGTCAATATCCATTGGTGATTAATCATGGTACCATCAATTCTAAATGTAAAATTTCCCGTCATATGGGCTTGAATGTGAATCCTAGTCAAGGCTTACTGCTATTCAGAGGTTTAAGACTGATAATACTCACTACTACAGAACTATCATTTTAATCTTTTTTTCTGCAATTCTTTTCATGGAGGCTTTAACAAAACACCTCCTTTGGCTCTGGAGAATTCCAGGCTTTCCATTGATTTAGTTTCTTCCAGAGTAGCTCACACAAGATCAGCAAATTTCACACACACATAAATTCACTTTTTTGGAACAAAAAATAGTAGACGATTTTCTTATTCAAGGGGCACTGCACAGTCATAAACTTATAGATAAAAGAGTATAATGGACAAAATCCTTTTCTTACATTAACTGAAAGAACTCTTAGACTGTGTGTGCTTTGCAAAAGAAAACAAACAAGCTTGTCAATTCCTGTGTCTCTTTTGAGAGAAAGAAGAGGAGACATTTACGTGTGACAGGCATAGACATGAGGGAGAACATACACTGTTTTCTCTGTGCCTGATACTGGAAATTGTATCCCACTGAGTGTCTGGGAGATAAGCCCCAGTACTTGCCTCTTCAATACTATTGATACTCATGTTGTTTTGCGGATATGATAAACAGCTTATAACTACCATGAAAAATGTGAGTTCTGTGACAATTATCAAGATGAGATACATTTCTGGTGAAGGATGTCTGGTTAATTTAGGTGTGTCTGATATATTGTCAGACCCAGGTCCAAACCATCACACAAGGTCACTCACTCGAGCCCAAGTTTCTATAACATCTGCAATATATAAACACAAGGCCATTTTCAGGCTTAGGATGATTAAGGGCATACCAGAGTATGCTTTTGAGCCTACTTCACTCCCAAAGGTGGACCTATACTCCCTAGCATTGTAGCTTTGATACCGTGTTACTCACGTATGTGACTCAATTACAGTCTTGTTACCCAGTTGCTGCTGAGGAAATGCAGCTTAGATAACATAAATTCAACAAGTCAATGAACAGACATAAGGTCTTCCTCAGAAGACATATACTATATCACTATCACCATGTCATAGGGATATACAGACAGCCTACGCTCTAATTTACTGTGTCCAGGTTGCTCAATCTTCTGCTGTGGGTAGGGTCTGCCACTGGACTTGGGCACCTGGCAGGCCTGAGAGCAGACCTTACCAGCAAAGTCAGAGCTAAAGCAGGACCTGTGTACCTCAGCCTTTCTATGTCTTTATCACTAGGTCCTCACTGCTTTCTGCAGTCCTCACTGGCAACAGAAAGCACGTTCTTCAGGGAGACTGGTATCAAAAGAGCATTGATAAATCAATGATGTTAACTGGTGGGCCACTGAAGAGAGCAACTTGACCAATCAAGAGAGACATAATTAACTTAATATTGTTTGAACAATGCAATTCTTTAAACTAACAAACACACTTGTACTCAATATTCTTCCACAACCAATGCTAAAAGCAGGACGTATGGATTTTATGGTCACACAAACTGCTCCAGGTCACACAAACTGCTTTCCCATCTGTTCTTTAGTGATCAGGCATGGACAGCACCACAGTGAAAATGTTTCATTTCAGAGTGATGTGCCAAGACTGTAGTAATGATGATTATTTTTCAGTGTACTTTTTCTACATTACAAATACTCTCATTCCTGTCCATAACGATGGAGCATCAGGCAGGCCATGGAAAGCTCAGCTAATTTTAATCATTTTCTTTTAGTAGTAAAGAAAAGATTCTTGTTTGTGGGCAAAGAAACGTAAACCAGAGAGAGGACCAGAGTTTGCTTGTACCTACTTCCTAACAGTCTCAGCAATCCCATTGCAACAGCTTCAGTTAAAGCTGCAATCTAAACTGATAGCAGATGATAGGAAAGTCCATCCGTAGCGTACGGATTTCCTGGGCACAACATGGATGAGGCTGAATAGAGTGAGAGCACTGGGAGGCTGCTGTTCTAGTCCCTGCTCGGCCTCCAGCTTCCTCGTACAGACAACAGAATCTGCATTCCTGTGGTCCAGTTTCTCAAACCTTTTACATGCAAAGCTTTACAGACTTGTTTGTGATGTGCTGTGTAAATGCTAGGTGTTTACTCATGACACGTCTGAGAACCTCATCTGTCAACAATAAGGATTATGACAAAAAAATCATATATCTGCATCCCCACTGGGGAAAAAAAAACAACTGCAAAATATTCAAGGCTTCAGATTTTGTGTTTCTCATCTAGTTATTGGTATATTTGTTTCATGTCTTCACTCATTTAATATAATAAAAATCATATCTGACTGGAAAATAGTAGCTAAGTTTTACCTGAATATGGAAAACTCACCCTGTTAGCCTGTGATATGTTAAGCCTTCCAAACTGCCTTCCTTCATTACAGGCTACATTCAACATATAATTACTGTACCAGCAATATCTAATTTATTATACTGTGTACCAGAATGTGCTGCTTTCAATAAGTTCTGCTTCTCATCTAGACTTTTGAGGACTGTTATCCCCAAACCTGCTCTGGAAATCAAGGGATTTAAAGAACCCCAGAGATTCCAGATTCTCACAGCAATTGATAAAAAGAGCTTGAAGTAAAATTGGAGGCATATAGT